CTCTTGATGTTGTCTCACATAATTATTAGGCCTTCTTTTCCTGTTCTTTTGTAGTTGTTGTTGTTGGTTGTTCCTCTAACAGAAGTTTGAAGAGACTTGTCAGCAATTTCACTAATATTGTCTTCCATTTATTTAATTCTACTCCTTTGCCTTTCCAGTGTGTTCTCTATTTCTGAAATTTTTGTATTAATCTTCTAGATTTCTATTTGCTGCTTTTGTACAGTTTCTAATTTTCCATTTATTTTGTCAATATGTTCTTGTATTGTTTTCCTGAATTCTTCTAGAATTTTGTCTGTGTTTCTGTGTTTCCTTGATTTTTGTCTATGGTTTCCTCAGGTTTTGTTTGTTTGTTTTGTTTTTTGTTTTTTCCTCAATCTCTTTCTTAATCAGTTGAAGGGTTCTAAGTACAATTATTTTGATCCCTCATCAGGTAGCTCTCTTTTCTGATTTTCTTACTCTGGAAGATTTTCTGGCCCTGTATTTTGATGACTTGCTTAAGCCATCTTGTCCTATTTTGACATTGTCTTTTGTCTCAGATACACTGATGTGTTATTGTATTAATTTGTTGATTGCTAGTTTGCTTCATCCTAAGTTTTTTGTTTTGTTTTTTCTTAATATTTCCAGGCAATGAAGCTGCTATGCTATTTTGATCATTAGTTTGTCAGAACTGGGGCATTCACATCTCCGTGTGAATTTGGTAGTAGTTGGGAGTTTAGGCGCAGGTCTTCAATCACTGGTTGTGTACAACAGCTGAAGACAGACTGGGCAGGTGTTGGCCACTATCTGTTGCCACTCCAATGGTGCTAGAATGGGTGGTGCCACTTGCCCAGTGGGTGTGGAGTGTGTGACTTATTTAATATGAATTTTATAGCTTCCTTTGCTCAGATTTTTTATTTGTTTTATGTGTATTCATAATAGCTCATGAAAATTGCTATTTAACAATATTTGTCAGATAAATCTAACATCTCCATATCTTGTTTTGGTATCTACTGATTGTCTTTCTGTAGTTTTCTTACAGTTGAGTGGCAGTAGCATTTTGTGACTCTCTTAATCACAGGTGAGGTAGTAAATCTGAATACTGATGTGTAGCTTCCATGGATTTTGCTCTTCTAACCCTTCCAGTGATTTTGTATGCATGTATTTCACCATATTAGATCTCTTTCTATTGAACTACCTATAGCGGTTTCTGTTTTCCTGCTTGAACACTAACTAAAACTTAATTTCTATATTCCAGTTACTGAAATGCTATACCCATGGCTGAGGATGACCTCCACTGCAGAGTTGGGTGAAATGCCACACACACAGAATAGGGTCAGACTTTCTTGACAGATACAGAGGGGCCAGATGACCTGACCAAAATGTCCAGAGAGTTAACATCATGTGCAAAATATCCAATGGGAAATAAGACATAGGAGGGACATGGATGGAAAAAATTCCCTCTCCTTCTGTGGATTAATCTGAGGTGGATTCTTCTCCTTGAAAGATCGATAGAATTAATCTTCTGTGCCATGATCACATATCACATACTTTTCTTTGAAATTTGTTGTGAAGCAACAAGTACATCAATGTATCCAGGAATCCATTATCCAATAAGCAAGGAAAGCACAGGTTTACTTGTGCCTACTTATTAATCTGTAGCGAAATAAGTAAGCAAAAGTAAGGCTATGCTTACCTTGCTTACTGGGTACTCTGTCATTTTCAGGGATTTTAATTTTAAAAAACCTGTGATTCATAGGACGGTGCTGTGGGGTTAAGAGAAACAGATGTCAACCATACCTAGAAGCAGAATCCTTGATGTGGTGAAAATATGTGAAATTGTTCACTACAGATTAATAAGTAAGATTTATTGGGTAATCCAATACTGAATATATCATACATTTCCTTGCTCCACAGTTTTCCTTGCCTTACTTCTCTTTTTTCCTCATCCTTCTAAACAAATTTTGCACCTACCAAATAAAGTATGAGCATTTTAATCATTATCTCAGTATCTATTGCTTTTTGGTTTCCTTGTGATTTTCTACATACACAATAATGTTATCTGCCAATAGAGACAATTTTCTTTTTCTTGCCTTGCATTGGTTAGGACTCCCAGTATGATGTCAGATAGAAGTGATGAAAGAAGCTGTCCTTGCCTTGTTCCTAATCTTAAGTATAAATATAATATTAATTGTAGGGTTTTTTTTTTTTTTCAGATGTTCTTCATTAGGTTTAATAAGTTAACTTCCATGCCTAGTATGCTGAGAATTATTTTCATGAATGGATAATGAATTCTGTCAATTTCTTTTTCTGTATCTACTGATACATGGTTTTCCTTCTTGAATCTGTTAGTATGATGAATTATAGTAATTGTCTTTTTAAAAATATTGAATGTGCCTTATATTTGCAGGATAAATCCTACTTGATCAGCCTGTTTATATGTTTCTGGATTTTATTTGATATTCTTGTGATGAGAATTTTTGTGTCTATAACCATGAGGAAATACTACTATAACCCTCCTTGGGTTTCTGAGGCAGCATCTCTATGGAAGTAGATTGTGCAGTCTTCCTTCCAAGAAGTGGTTAGTGGACTTGAACCACCAGCCTTCTGGTTAGGAGTCAAATGCCTTAGACATAAAGAATACATTTCCTCAGTTCATTTGGTGTCAGGTATGGCTAAGCAATCAAGTTCTGGCCAAGGGAATATGAATAGAAGAGGTGTGTACTTTTCCAGATTTTTCCCTTAATGTGAAGAATTGTGTCCTGCATTTGACCCTTTCCCTCTTCCTATCGACTGAAATTAATTCCTGCTGGCAGAAGCATAATTGCTATCTTAGGCCATGATATGGAAGCCATTCTTAGAGGTTGACAGGAAGTCAAGAGAGAAATAGCCTGTATCCTTGATGGTGTGGCTAAACTAATTACCCAGACCTGCTCCTGAGAAAGAAAAAGGATCCAGCTTTTTAAACCTATAATTATTTGGAGTTTATTATAATAGCCAAATCAATATAGTAAATAATGTACCCATCAACACTGGATAACACGGTCTACTGCTGCTACATTCTGTAGCAATCACTATTCAAAAAGAGTGTAAGTGAAAAACTTGAGTAGAACTTAAAAATTTGCCTGTAAGCTATCCTACCACTCCTGCTAAGACATTTCTCCACAGCAATTTTGTCTATTCCCTTCTCCTTCCCCACTATCACAGAAAAACCCTTTACTCTTCCCAGGGCTTCTCAAACTTGTTACGGTAGTTCCTTAAATTGATGCTTATCTCTTACTTCTGTAGTATTTCCAGAGCTGATCTGAGGGAGGAAGCTAAAAGCCTATTGATGTCCACCATTTTTTTTCAGCAACTAAGAGGCTAATCTTAGGTGTTTTCATAATTATTTTCTCTATGAAATCTCAGCCTAGTAGCCAGGAAAAATATCAAAATTCTCATTTCAAAGAAAAGAAAAAAAAATGTATAAAAATTAAGTAGAATAATTTAGGTTAGGATCTGGAACTTCTGGACATCAATACAGAACTTTTTACCCATGAAGTTCATTGATGGGTTTGTCCCATGGTTTTAATCTAAACAATGATTAGCCACTGACTCTTGGTAGTAATAAGAACTGCGAATTTTACACTGTAGAAATAAAAGTCATAATCCCCAACTCTCTTTTACTCTATCTTGGTTGAGTCTAGAGGACACAAGATTTCTCTATTGCAAATGTAAAAGTCAGCATTCACAATTAGCCATGACTTAAAAGAGAAGGTTTGAGAATAGTTACCCTAAAACTTAACTTATATTTATTGCATTCTTTCATTGTATTTTGCTGATAAGTTGAATTTCCTAAAAAGAACATAGATGTTCTTTCTAGCCAGTGCCGAGTGAAGGGTATCTCCTGGGGCAACTGGCACAGGTGATGCAAGACCATGGGCAAAAGAAAGTCCTGTCACAAGAAACAGAAGTACAAGCTGGGATACCTGACTGCCAACACTCAGACTGACTCCCTCTGCATATGCACAGTTCCCATGAGAGAAGGCAATAGGAAGTACCAGGCTCTCTCTCAGCTGGGCATGGAGAACTTCTCCTGGGGCTTTGAACATTGTACCCACAAGACAAAGATACTGATGTTGTCTGCAATCTGTATGATTGTCCAACAACGAGCTGGTCAGCACCTGGTGAAGAACAGCATTGTGCTCACGAGGGAACACTATACTCAAAGGAGTTCCGTTTCACATTGCCCCTGGGCCACAAAGGAGGAGCCAAACTGACTCCTGAGGAGGAAGAGATTTTAAACAAAAAGTTATCAAGGAAAATTCAGGAAAAAAAAAATGATGAAAAGAAAAAGAATGTAAAAATCAGCAGTGTTTTGGAGGAGCAGTTCCAGCAGGGCAAGCTTCTTGCATATGTTGCTTTGTGGTCAAGCCAGTGTGGCCAAGCAGATGGCAATGTGCTAGGGGGGCAAGGAGCTGGAGTTCTATCTCAGGGAAATCAAAGTGGCAAAGTAATCTTCCTCGTTCCCACCTTAGCACACGTATTAAAGGTGTTAATCTACCAACATAGACCATTTTCTGTATTTTTGGTAGGCTTGTTTTAACAGCTGCAAAGAAAAAATTGGAATCATCATCATCAGGCAATAAGCAGTTGTATAATGTTCTGTTTTTATAGGGGAGAAAAGTTGTAAACTCTTTATCATACAATACTGGGCTTATTTACTAATATTTTCATCATTAGCTCACTTTCTATTATCTCATTGATCTAGTCTTTATAAACTAGCATAAAAGTCTGTACAGACTGTTGAAATTATGAGCATAGCAGAAGACTCTCCTCTTTGTGAAAAGTTATTTTATAAGTAAAATAAATAAGCAAGTCTAATAGATTATATTTAAAGCACAATGAAAAATTTCGTTTTCCTCAACAATTCAAACTCATAATAGGGAGTCAGGGAGCAGGTGGTGATAGAACAGGTGGGGTAGAAATTTCTGTGAAGTCTCTCATTGGAGCACATGGAGGATACCTGCAGTTTTCTCCAGAAGTCACTGGCCTGAAAAGGAGACTTTGCCCCTGAGAAGTCTTCCCAGTGCACCCTTCATGTCCTTGTTCCGCAGGCTGTAAATGAAGGGGTTCAGCAGGGGAGTGACCACTGTGTACATGACAGCAGCTGCTGTGTCCTCCACTACTGAATTGGAGGAAGAGGATGAAGGACACAGATAAGCCCTGATCACCATCCCAAAGAACAGGGCAACAACAGCAATGTGGGAACCACAGGTGGAGAAGGCTTTGTGCCTTCCCTGGACAGAGGGAACTCTGAGGATGGCTGAAACAATGTGGATGTAGGAGACCAGAATGAGCATAAAGGGGATTAAAATGACTGCTCCTCCCAAGAAGAGGAGCACAAGTTCATTGATGTGTGTATCAGAGCAAGACACCTTCATCAGGGGTCCCAGATCACAGAAGAAGTCGGGAATGACCTTCTTAGAGCAGAAGGAAAGTCGGAATATGAGAAAGGTGTGGGTCATGGCAACAAGATTGGTAAGGGTCCAGCAGGCAGTCACCATAAGGGTGCAGTGCCGGGGATTCATGATCATCCTGTAGTGGAGAGGGTGACAGATGGCCACGTAGCGGTCATAGGCCATTGTAGTGAGGAGAAAGATGTCCATGTCTCCAAAGGTCAAGAAGAAGTAGAGTTGAACCATGCACCCTGCATAGGAGATGGACCTGCTCTGGGTCTGGATGTTCACCAGGGCCTTGGGCACAGTGGTAGAAGTGAAAAGTATGTCTGCACAGGACAAGCTGGCCAGGAAGAAGTACATGGGGGTGTGGAGATGAGCATTGGTGCCAATGGCCAGGACAATGAGTAGGTTCCCAGCCACAGTGACTATGTACATCCACAGGAAGAGCAGGAAGAGGATGTGCTGTTGCTCGGGTCGCTCTGAGAGTCCCCAGAGGAGGAACTCAAAGATGCTGGTCTGATTCCCTCCTGCCATGTGCTCAGAGGTCAGAGAAAGAGACCTCAGGTGACACACACAAAAATTCTTTAAACATATTTTACTTTAGATAATTGGTAAATATGCCATTCTCTGACCTCTGCAAAAAAGGAAGAATGACTTTAATGCATTTGTATTGACCACTTACTGTATACAATGTAAACTTTTATTGAAATGTAGTACTTAAGGCACTTGACTGCTAACCAGAAGGCTGGTGGTTCAAACCCATCAGCCACTCCTCGGAAAGAAGGTTGGGCAATCTACTTCCGTAGTGATACTGCTTTGGAAACCCAAGGAGGGGTCACTATGAGTCGATTCTGACTCAATGGCACATAACAACAACAACAACAAATACAATAAATAGGTGGAGGTAAAATTAAAATAGAGTCCTTGTTTGATTTCTCTATGTTCCTTCCTGTCTAATATTTCTTTAGCTGCAGTTTCTTGTTCTGTACTCTTGGTGGAATCAAGATGCTTTCATTCATTCATTCATTCATTCTAGATATTAGCTATCAACTATTTGCCTAGTAGGAGGAGCTCTGGTGGTATAGTGTCTAAGGCATTTGACTGCTAACCAGAAGGCTGGAAGTTCAAACCCACCAGCCACTCCTCGGAAGGAAAGTTGGGCAATCTACTTCTGTAGTGATACTGCCTCGGAAACCCAAGGAGGGGTCGCTATGAGTCGTATCTGACTCAACCACAGTGAGTTTGGTTCTGTTTTTTTTTTTATATGCCTAGCAGATAAGTATGATAGTCCTCAACCTCAGAGCATCTCAGCCTAAACGGATAGATATAACTCCCTATATTAAAATCTTATGAAATTAGTGATTCAGGATTCTTCACCCAAATAGCTGTTGTTCTGGCATCAAAATTCCATAATGTTTTGTCTACAGATTCTTTTTTAAGTGAGCTCAGAGAAGCAGGCAGAGTCCAGTGTGGGAGGGACCTCATGCATTTAGTTGAGGAGTCACAACTTTCTCCTTAGCAGAGTGGAATGTTCTTAAAGGACACTTAAAAATATGTTATTGTTTTAGGTGAAAGTTTACACAACAAATCAGTTTCCCATTCAACAATTTAGACACAAATTGTTCTGTAACTTTGGTTGCTATCCTTACAATGTCCCCATTTTCACCTTGCTTTCCCTATTTCCATCCCTCCAGTTTCCCTGGGCCTACTTGCCTTCTCATGTTTGCTTTTGGGCAAATGTTGCCCATCTGGTCTTGTATACTTGATTGTGCTAAGGATCACATTCCTCACAGGTGTTACTGTTTATTTTATAGGCTAATCTATTATTTGGCTGAAAGGTGACCTCTGGGAATGGCTTCAGTTCTAAGTTAAATGGATATCTTAAGGTAATAGTCTTGGGGGTTCCTCTAGTCTCTAGCAGTCCAGTAAGTCTGATCTTTTTTATGAATTTGAGTTTCTACATTATTCTCCCATTCTAAGTGGGACCTTCTATTGTGTCCCTCGTCAGAATGGTCAGTAGTGGCAGCTGGGCACCATCTAGTTCTTATGGTCTCAGGCTAGAAGAGGCTGTGGTTCACATGGGCCATTAGTCCTACTGACTAATTGCTTCCTTGAGTCTTTTGCTTCCTTCATTCTTCTTTGCTCCAGACAGAAAGAGATCACTGGTTGCATGTTAGATGGCTGCTTGCAAGCTTTTAAGAACCAGATGCTACTCACCAAACAAAGATGCAGAACATTATCTTAATGAATAAAGTTATGCTATTGGTCTAGTTGTCCCACAAGAACCTTCAGATCCAGTAAGTCAGTCCCACAAGGTGTTTGGATATGTCTAGAAAGTATCCATAATTGTGCTTCTGTGTGCTTTATTGTATATATGAATATATATACAGCACAAACATGTATGTACATATCCCCACAAAGATAGCTATATATGTACACACATATACTCCCATATGCCTTCCCACACCCATATAGCATATGTATCTCCATATATCTACTTATGTAATGACTCACATTTTTTTTTCTTCTCATTATGTTGCAGAATTGTATATGTTATAGCATTTACTGTATCGTCTTTATTCTTATGTACTTTTCAGTGTCTTCATTTTCCTTGGTCAAGTTGTACTGATTTCCCCATATTGTTTATTGCCTTTCCCATCACCAGAATTCACACATCTGCTATCTAGTAAGTGATTTCCCCTCCTTCCCCCTTCCTTCTCTGATAACCATCAAACAATGTTGCTTTCTGTGTATATTCTTAGGAGCTCTGGTGGCCTAATGCCTAAGGCATCTGACTGCTAACCAGAAGGCTGGCGGTTCCAATCCACCAGCCACTCCTTGGAAGGAAGGCTGGCCAATATACTTCCATAGAGGCAAAAAAAAAAAAAAAAAAAAAACAAACTCACTGCCGTAGAGTTGGATCTAACTCATAGAGACCCCTCTTTGGGTTTCCAAGGTGGTATCACTATGGACATGGATTGCCCAACTTTCCTTCCGAGGACCGGCTGGTGGATTTGAACTGCCAGCCTTCTGGTCAGCAGTCAAATGCCTTAGGCACTACACCACCAGAGCTCCCTCCATAGAGGTACTGCCTCAGAAACCCAAGGAGGGGTCGCTATGAGTTGGGACCAACTTGACAGCAATGAGTATGTATTCTTGACTTTTTATAAAAATGCAGTATTTGTCCTTCAGACCTTGACTTATTTCACTCAGCATAATATTGTCAAGATTCAACTATGTTATAAAATGCTTCATGGACTCATCATTACTGCTTGTCCCTTTGAGCATTTTGAGTTAGTCAGTTTTTGGTTCTTTATGGTATGAGGTATGGGTCCTGTTTAATTTTTCTGCAAATGGATATCCAGTTTTGCTAGCACCAGTTGATAAAGATACTATCCCTTCCCCATTGAATGGACTTCAATCCTTTGAATGGACTTCCAATCAGCTGTCCATAAATGAATGTATTTACTTCCGGGTTCTGGATTCTGAGTTACTTCTAGAACTTCTGGTCCATCGTTCTGTGTGTTTGTCATTGTATCAGTACCACACTGCTTTGATTACTGTGGTTGTATAGTAGTGCTGAGATCAGAAAGTGTGAGGCCTCTTATTTCGTTCTTCTTCAATATTGCTTTAGCTATTCGAGGCCTCTTCCTTTTCCATATGAAGTTGGAGATTAGTTTCTCCATTTTGTTAAAGAATGTTGTTGGGATGTGGATGGAGATTGCATTATATTTATATGTCACTTGGGGCAGTAGACATCTTCACAATGTTAAATCTTCCAATCCATGAGCATGGGATGTTTTTCTGTCTACATATTTTTTATGTGATTTTTTTTTCTGTCAGTATTTGAATTTTCATCCCGGTAAATTACCCATAAAAACTCAAACTCATTGCCATCAATTAGATTCTGACTCCTAGAGACCCTATAGGACAGGGCAGAACTGCTCCACTGGATTTCTAAACCTGAGAATCTTTACAGAAGCAGACTGCCTCATTGATCTCCTGTGGTGCAGCTGGTGGATTCAAACCATGAACTTTTAGTTAGCAGCCAAATGCTTTAACCACTATGCCACAAGATCTCCTTGTAAAGTATCCATCAAAACCCAAACCAAACTTGCTGCCATCAAGTCAACTCCGACTCATAGCAACCCCCTTTGGGTTGCCAAGGTGGTAAATCTTTACAGAAGTAGATTGCCCAATCTTCCTTCCAAGAAGTGGCTGGTGGGTTTGAACTGCCAACCTTCTGGTTAGCAGTCAAATGCCTTAGGCACTATGCCACCAGAGCTCCTTAAACTCTTTTATATATTGTATCTACCCCCATAGTAGCTACAGTAGTATCTTGAATATTAAAAAATTAAATAAACTAAATGGCACATAACAACAACAAAAAGTAGTAAAAATTTCTATTTCCTTTTTTCCTTTCTTTCAGATTTCCTTCTTTCCCTGTCTATATTTACTAGACGGTGTGCTCTGGTGTGGCATAGTGCCTAAGGCACTTGACTGCTAACCAGAAGGTTGGTGGTTCAAACCCACCAGCCACTCCTCAGAAGGAAGATTGGGCAATCTACTTCCATAGTGATACTGCCTCGGAAACCCAAGGAGGGATTGCTATGAGTCAGAGACGACTCAGCGACACACAACAACAATATTTACTAGATGGTTGAGAATTTTAGAATACAGAGTCAAAAGTGAGTTGGATTCAATTTAATTCCATTCAATTCTGCAAACACTTATCAGCTTCTCACTCACTTTATATGCATCCTGACTTTCCTTTACCAGAGGGAGGAGGAATATTCTATATATTTTACCTGCATAAATACCTTTCAGCTTAATGGAGTGAACCATTAAATGTTGACAGGTGATGATGGCCTTATCAACTCACAGAAAGAGAAAAGCTCTAAAAATTAATTCTGTCAAAAAAAAAAGAAGACAAAACTTTCAGATATTCTCTGTGTCCTCTAAAATAGATGCAAAAGTGTGTATCTTCCAAGAAAGAAGGGATCTAAAGGGAGCTAAACTAAGAAAAGGATGCAGAGAAACAATTTACATTTGAGGCTAAGTAGTGCCCGCCTAGATCACAATTCCCCATTTCTCTACTAAAAACCATGCAAGGTGACAAGGAGAAATAAGGGTCCAAAAATGTATACTTTTAGTGGAATTGGGGCAGAGTTATCCCATGACTCTAAACATATAAATTAGAAGAACACACCTCAAATCAGCCCAATCAGTATGTCAAAGCCACAGCAGGAAATTGCCCAAATCTACGAAACCTCTGCTAATATTCATGCCTATAGAGAGATCTGAGTCCCTGGGTGATACAGACTACTCAGGTGCTAACTGAGAAGCTGGACTTTCTGGTCTACCCAGAGATGCCTCAAAGGAAAGGCCTGGAGATCTGGCAATCTGTTTCCAGAAAACCAGCCACTGAAACTCTAGAGAGCACGGTTCTACTCTGATACACATAGGGCTGCCGTGAGTCAGAATCGACTTGATGCCAACTAGTTTTATAAAGGAGGACCCTGCCCTGAGTGATA